TAACAGCCAAGCTAAAGACCAGCGAACGATCAATAGATGACAGAAGTGGGGTTCGAACCCACGCCCTTTCGGACTGCGGCCTAAACGCAGCGCCTTAGACCACTCGGCCATTCTGCCGTCCCCCGCCCGCATAATTAATGCAGTTATCAGCACGGCTTCGCTTTAGAATCTCCACGTCACGTTTTGGCTGCAATGAAATTAGCACAATCGGTTTGCTTGTACAGTCACTCATTAAGATGGCTCACTGCTTCCTTAGGGTGAGGTCGGGGACAGCCACTCACCCCGTGGAGCGTCTCCCTGAGTTATTCTTAACTATGGCATGCCTGAAGTACTAATGCCTGATCTCCACCCTAGGTTGCATTTTGGCCTGTGTGGCAGCAGTTATACCTAGTAATTTCAACATCAAGTGTTGTCCCTATTTGCTGTCTACCATCAACAGAGGGTCCTCTGCCAGGCAAGCGGCAGGGACAGATATTGCACAGCGTGAGCGATGTTGGCACGTTTGCCCTCAGCTGGCAGATTAACCATCACCCGGGCCTAGTAGGTAAATGGTGTTCAACCATAGGTTCTAAGCAGCATGTGTATATACAATCAAGAAACCTTGTTATTTGGAGGTGCCGTGCAGTGAATTGCAACAAAGTGCATTGCAACTCGTGACAGGCCGCCTGCTCTCCAGCAGGTTCAGGCGCTTAAGCAAGTGAGCTCAGGGCACCTGTAGACTGGCGAGAGGTTTCAGTTGCTTCTAAAGAGCTCTTACTTATTAATTTTGACTCGATTGCAGCTCTCAGTAGAACTCGCATGCGATATAGGACCTGTGTTTTTATCGTTGTGCTTGCAGAAACGCTGACCGCTAAAACCCGAGTCGGTGTTCCAATAACGGAATGGCTACAGAAACAGCATCTCCGTTGCAGTTGCAACAGTTGCGACCACCGTACTGTGATGACTTGGAAAGATCGACACATTCTGCGTGAATTGGATTGTCACTAAGAACGTTTTGCCTTGGTTATAATACAGAACATGCGCTTGGTTGACCTCGACGTGGCTCCCGACGGTTGATAGATTCCCAACTCGAGGAAAGCTACTCATTAATCTCCACTATGCAAGGGAAGACAAATGCTGAGATTAAACAGCGACTTCAGCTGCAAGAGAATATTTGCTTTTCTAATCAAATGAAGTTTTAGGCACCGTTGATACAACATACTTCTGTCGAAGGGAGCGCCCTGATGTGGCAGCAGAATAAGGGCGTGGAAGGAAGGGTGCGAAGGCATATGCTGCTTAAAGCACATACAACCAACTTCCTGATGATTCAGTAGTTCTTTCACTCTTTTATCATTCGGTTCTTCTTTCCTACGTTAAGCCCTTGACGACTGGTGTACAACGCACTGTCCCATATATACATGTTTCTTCCACTCATTGATGTTGCCTAGTTTAATTTTCGGGTTAAATTCAATTATCAAAAGTACAACACGAGGGGAGGCTCGTGAAGTTGACTGAAAAACGAAGCACGAATCCCGGCAGAATGGCCGAGTGGTCTAAGGCGCTGCGTTTAGGCCGCAGTCCGAAAGGGCGTGGGTTCGAACCCCACTTCTGTCACTTGCTTCTTTTGTCTTTTTTCGTTGCTTTACTTTTTAATTAATGACATGACATTATCAAGCGAAACTTAATCTGCTGAGGAAAGTTGGTGCTGCTGCATGCACACCACAAACAAACCAGGATCCCAGAGCTAAGGTTGAATAGCATTGCTTCTTGCACGGTACGAAGAACGGAAATAAGCTCAGCGGGCAGCATTGCTTATTTAAGTTTTAAAAACATAATTTACAAATTATGAATTTTATTTTTATTCTATTGCAGTGCCAGTGGGTGGGTAACATTAGAAAAATGATCAGGTGGCGGTACTCAAGAACCCTAGGACAGGAAGTTAACAGCGGCGTACATAACGGAATTTCCCTTTAAAGCATAGTTAAATAAATCAAAGGGGGATATTGAAAGCCCCACTAAACGTAATCAACACAAATTATATTTGTACTCTTTTGTGCAGTTTCGGCTCTGATTAAGGCTGACGCACGTGTTGTGCACGCGCACTACAATAGAGCCCATATGCTAGACCTCCAAGGTCTACCACCTTTCACGAAAGGAGAAACAAAGTACACTTATATTGGAAATTTTTAGATACAAAAGATGTCAAATGAGTTAAAGAGTGCTAGTCCGCCTTCACGAGGCCTAGGGGTGACCGTGAGGCTATAAGTCAGTCCTATTATTATGGGTTCGCCCCGTAATATGGACTGACTCGAATATGTTCGGTGACACACGACCACGACCCGAAAATGTCCTATTTGATCAAATAAACATCTTCTGGTCGTTTTTAGAGAATGCATAACATCTGTAACGTTTGCTCCCACCTGCTTATGCCCATGACATAACGTAGCTCCGCAGAAGAGCAGCTGTCTGCTACCGGCTGTTCATTACACACGACCTTGACTGTAATGACATGAAAAATGCCTGCTATACAATTACTTACAATAAACACTACTATGTATTAATTATATGCATTTCCGATCCATTCATTTATAAAAGGCGAAGCCCAGAAGGCTGCAATAAAGACCTCCATGCGACTGTTTCTCAAAAGCAGAAGTCTGCGCTAAGTTTAATTACAATGTAAGGAGGCGACACCTGCTCAGTGCTGGTAAATTAAAACATTTGTGAGGCGTCAGCAAATACTGCCGTTTTTCTCTCATAAAACCTCAAAGAAACTTCGTGCAGGATTTCATGCGATATATGCGCTGCTGGATTACCTAGCTAGCTGGCTATTATCTCCCTAGCTAGCTAGCCAGTCGTTTGTTAAACGTTGCGAGAATAAAGAATGCCACATGCGAATCAGGCAAACTAGTTGGATCTAATTGTCCTTCTTATCCATGTTTCCCAAAGGCTTCACAGCAACGAAGAGACCCCAGAACTGCAACCCTTTTGCTGCTCTTTCCTTCTTGCTTTGCCAGCCATCACGGAGGTCTTGGAAGTCTTTTTGCGTAAACAAATGCATGAATTCTTCCTTTTGTTCTTCTAAACGTCGACTCTCTGCATCAAGAGCCTTCAACCACCTAGGCGCACCACACAATATAACCCAGCAGTATATATATAACCGCCCAGCAACACGGTATAATTTGCGCAGGAACTCAAACAAAGACGATAAAACAAACGGGGGGAGGGGTATTGCTCTTCTTGGGTATTACCTCTCGGTGTGATTGACCGCCTTGACAACTTCGAATCCCGCGTCCTCCAGTAGCTGTTTGTACACCTCAAGCTGCACGAGTTTGTAACCTCTGTCAAGCAGATAGTTCTTGAACTCTTTGTTCCACTTCTCCTTGGGGCCGCAGCAGTAGTCAGTTATCACCAGCTGTGCAGGCACCCCGCACCCCACACAACACAAAATAAAAGAAGTGTTAGTATGCAGATGCTAAGTCGTCATATTAGCAGCACCAGAGCTAGAAGGCAAATAGATACAAGACAAAAACCGTAACAGCAACAGAAACAACAGAAACACTATATATGCATTACTGCAATGGATGAGAAACAGGAACAACAAATCAAAAGACGGCAGCAATAACGACAGCATGAAGAAACAGCAATAGGTACTGCTGTTTTTCTTTTTTTCCTCACTTGTCCTCCTGGTTTTAGCCACTGAAAAGCCTTAGAAAAGAGTATTTTCTTCTCATGTACATCAAAGTGCAGCACAGTATCTCTACTATAGACAAGATCGAGGGAATTGGGTTCAATAGGAATATGTAGAGCATCAGCAACAAGAAATTTTAGGTCTGGTCTCTGCTGATAACGTGTCTCTGCTATAGAAATCATATTTGATGATAAATCTACACCCAATACAGATGCACCAAATCTGTCCGCTAATGCTGCTGTGCTCCCTCCAATGCCACACCCTACATCTGCACAGACACAACCAACATAGATAACACAACAAAATCCCTTTACTCTAGTCCTCCAGCAACAGCAGCAGCAGCAGCTGCTACTACTACTACCACTACTACTACTAATGCTGTTTCTGCTACTACTACTACTACTACTGCGCTGCTGCTGATACTACTGATGCTGTTGCTGCTCACCAATTGCCTTTCCCGACTTGGGAAGAGAAATCTCATCTAGAATTTCTGCTGTGGTGTCGCCACCCCCAGAGGAGACATAGCCGCTGCAGCATAAGAACAAGACAGATGGAGGAATACAATCGCAACAAGACAAAGAAAGCAATTAGTTGGCTGGTCTTATACAACCAAACAAATAATATTATACTCTGTTCACTGTCTCCATCCAAACAAGTTCTGTTCTGCTGCCCACCGGCCAAAGACAAATTCGTATCGCAGAATTCCTGTTAAGCCAACGGCACAAACAGCAGCAGCAGCAGCAGCAAATGAGTCTGTCAGGGGAAGAAAGACAGCAAGTTCACTTATGGCGGAGACGAAGATAAAATACCTGAACTGTCTTTTACAACTGTCTGGATATGCTAAAAAAACCCCATGCATGCTAGCATGCACGTGGTGTACATCCACTGCACGGTTGGCATACCATTCTTGGAGTACTGATGCGAGTCGAGGGCCTCCTGGCGTTTCTTGATTTCCTCCGAGTTTTCAGGAGAGCTATACACGCAATTAAGAGCTGCCATTGTGGAAAATGGTTGAGCTAAGCGCTATAGGAGGACGATCCCTGCAATCGTAACAATAACAACAGAAGCCAATCACAGCACAAAACCACAGGGGTTGTTGTTACCCACAGCAATAACTGATGCTGCCCTCAGCAGCAACGTTAGTTCTGATAATCAGAAAACGTTTTTCTTAGTGTTACATGCCACTGTATGTGGCCAAGTGCTGTGCTCCAGTGCACAGGAGCTGACGGCCTTGTGGTTTCTTGGTACGAAGCCGGCAGTTCTGCTTGAGGTTGAATGTCACTGCCAGTCTTCCTTATTATCGTTTGCTAATACTAATCAAATGCTCATATGCATAGTGTTTAAACCGTGTAACATCTCATTCCGGCGTAAGGTGGACTTAGACAGACTCACTGGCAAACGAACGATACGGATGAGAAGGTCAAGGGCCAACCCAAAGAAGCGATCCGAAAAACTACGGAAAAGAGTCAAAGAGAGAGTCAAACGGTCGACAGAAATGCGAAGTTTTTGCGATTTAAACAATGGCTGAGCACCACTGGTCACCGACAACGCTCAGCTGTGCGCACATTGCAAGCGGTGGTCAGACGAGACCCGGTGAGCTGCAGCTGCTGCCTCCTTCCACATCACCGCTGTTAAACCCTTCTTTTGTCGTTTTAGAAATGCTGTACTTTCTTGAGTTGAATTAGTACACAAAAAATTAAGCAGATTTCCTGTGACGTATACAGAGGGAAGAATTGCCTCATAAAACAGACAGACCATCGGCAGCCACTTGCCTCTCCACTCGCCACTCCACCACGCTGGCAAACATAGGTTTTACACCCAGTCATTTAATTATTTTTAGATCATTTATATTAGGTAGTTTTCATTTCAACAGAGCGTATTAGTCTTTCTCTTCTAAGTGTGGTGCCCTACACGCCAGTCGCCTGCGTCGCTGCAGTGCCCCCCCTGTTTGCAGGGTCTCACACACTAACCAGGGCGCAACGAATCGTCGAGCGAGACGAACGCTTCCTTCTCCTCTCATTCCTCACCCAACCGCTTAGTATTACGTATAAATTGCATATATGCCTTTTTAGGGACTTTGACACCTGACGGACGGGTCGCTCGGTGCGACTCGTGGAAGTAGAGCGCCAAAGTAGCCTTGGAAACATCACACACAGTTGCTTATAGCCACTATAAGACCCCCACGCATCCACAGGGCTACTGTATATTCCGGAATTTAAAGGATTCCGCCTGAAGCCGCCACACCACCCGCTGTGTAGTATCGTTCCCTGTGCTTATTGTAGATTCAGTGGTCTTCAGGGGCTTCTGTACACCACATTGTTGCTTTTGCAACCGTAGTCCCTCTGTCCTGCCTTGAGTAGCATGAGGAAAGGCCGCAGCTTTTACAGGAATTGAAACAGACTAGCAACAGGCTCATCTAAACCCTTCATCATAGGCCCTTAACACTCCGGCGAACGGCTCCAGTCAGCCTACACGTAGCTTATCTTAGCTACAGCTCCTGGGGAGAAGAATTGAAAACAGCTAGACCCCAAAACGCGGCAGAAGCAGCTGCAGCAGCAGGTGCTGTACCTCTCCATAGACCATTTCTTCTTACCTCTTCGGCCAGCGGAAGCAGCAACAGAAGAGAAGAACGCACTGCAGCAGATCCCAAAGGGAAGCCCTACACTCCACGTTGCAACGCTAGTATGCCCCTAAGCCTCACGCAGGCTGCGTCTGCAGCTGCCTCGTCCTTCCTGACCCTTCGCGTGTTGACTGCACTTGTAGAGACACCATAACCTCAATGGTCTTCGGAATAACTATCCAGCGCACTGCAAGTAGCAGCGTGCAGGCACTACACGAAGGAAGTGATAACGCAAGCGAGCTTAGCAGCGTTTGTCCCCTCTTGTGTTTGCCGCTGGTGCTGCCTCAGATATGCAGAGGTCCGGTGTATCCTCAGCTCGCACGACCTGCATCGAACAAAACTCTAAACCCTAAATGCTAAACTATACTGACCCTAAAATCTAGACGCTCTTCTTCCAACTGCCACCAAATTAGGCAAGTTGAACAAACCAAACGAGTCATATTCCCTCTTTAAACCTCCAACAGGAAGCCCAGGCCCTCCGTGGCACCGCTGCAGCAGCTGCTACAGCCGCTGTAGCCGCAGCTGCAGCTGCAGCAAATGCTGCTGCTTCCGCTGGTCTGCTGCGGCTGGTGAGCAGTATCAGCCTGCAGACCGTAAGGGGGCTCCCGACCCTCCTTACGCGCCTCCGCGAGGCCAACACAAACAGCTGCTTGCAGGGCGCCACAAAACCTGTCAGTAGTATGCAGAGCACCAGAGGAGAGGCGGTGCAGCGAGGTGTCTATACACCCGAGCTGGGGCTACCGCATGCTCTCCTCTCTTTCTGCCTCCTTTCGCCTTCCTGCGTTTCAAGGGCGTCACCAAAACGTCTTCACCAAACGAAGGCAAGAAGAATCAGCAGCTAAAGTGTGTATGTGTGTGTATGCACTCCGAAGAAGCAGCCGGATCCACTGCAGGTGCTTTTGCTGCTTCTGCTGCTGCTCTCTCTCTTTTTACTGCATTGACTCCTGCGGCCACCGTGCCTGCAAGTACTTTTCTATGTGAACTTGACATAGTGGCTGTTCCGGTCTGAAAGCCCCCACCAACATCACCACTTCCTTTGAGTTCGGCCACTTGTGCAGAATGACCCCTGCAGAGTAACGACACTTGGGGGGAACTACAGCAGCAGCAGCAGCAGCAGCACAAACAGCAGAAACAGGACCAGTAAGTAACATATATCAAAGCAGCAAACACAAGAAGCAGCAGCAGTGGCAGCAGAAGCAGAAGAAACTCTCAAACAGCAGATTCAGATGCATTTTAACTTTGGTGGCTTCCGCTGCTGCAACAGCAATGGAAGGAAATAAAGACTCCGTACAGTTTGCAGCACAGCGCTGCGTTACACTTGCTAGTCGTGCATGCATGACTGACTGCATGCAGCAGTGTGTACACGCATGCGGCTTAGCTGACATGAACAACGAGCAGCGGCCTCTTGCGACTCACGGGAAAGCCATTTGTGTATTTTTCCCTCTCCGTCAAACAGCACAACTTGGCCTCCTCTTTTGTTTCTCTTAGCGCCAACTTGAATCAGAAAATCAAAAAAGGAACTAGGCAGGAGTTGCATAAGCTGCAGATACACAGCCCACAAAACAGACGGCAAAACCTGCTGAATCAACGGGTGTATCCACAGTTCCTCTGAGCCGAAGGAGCTGCAAGGCTATCAGCCTCTTCTTTAAGCCAACCCAACAAGCAATACGGAAACACACAAAGAAGCCCGGTGCATGCCGGGCGACACCTCCCAAGTAGCTCAACCATTGCCGTGTACAGACAACCCGCAGATGCTTATCCTGCTTACGGGGAAGAGGACCCCCCCAAAGAGAGGAAATGGCTTGTAGGGCCGCAAGGCGCGGCTCCAAGCTGTCCACACAGCTGAACGCAGCTGCTGCAGGAGGCCTCCCGAGTCGCTGCTCCGTACAAACGGAGGCACGAACGGAGCGCCAAAGGATGCTGCAGCATACAGCCGCTTGCCTTCAACTTGAACTCGTGTCAGATTGTCAGGAGGAATCGGAAGTGTCAACACTGGGCGCCACTCCTTCAAGCTGCCTGCTGTACGTACACCCCACCACAGCACACCCCAGCAGCAGCAATAGTTGCAGCAGCAGACGAAAGGACCCGCACGCAAACACAGACGAATCCAATGCTCAGAGCTACACAAGCCTGCTGCTGAGCAGAGCAGTCAGGGATCAATTTTCCCTTCCCCCCAGGGTCAGTTTTCATCTGCCAATTTCTTTTGGGCAGCTGCAGCAGCCAAAAAGAAATCGGCACGCCAAAGACCCACTGGAGTCCGCAGAGGAGGAGAAAGGATAATATCGAATCTGACGGGCGTTCAATGCAGCAACAAAAACACCCGACTTGTCGTAGGTCACCACCACCCCGTTGGCAAAGGGAATGCCACTCCCCACTACTTCTGCAGTGTCCGTCCTGTACACGAACCCAACAGAAGAACGCAACAGACGCAGAGCATCAGACACAGGCAAATGCACAAGCAGAGAGAGTAGATACAGCAAAAGCAACAGAAGCGACAGCAACCGCCAGAGCACCGATGCCCCCCCAAAACGCTGCCGCAGCAGCAGTCGGACAGCAACGCACAGCAACGCTGATTGCAGCTACAGCACTCCAAGGAACATAGTGCGCAGCAGGAGCGATCATGCGTGGAGCAGCAATAATATGCCAATAGCAGCAACAGCACTAACAGCAGCAACAGTAACAGTGCTGCACGCATGCGCACTTGAGATCAACGGCGAGTAGACGGCCGGTGCCCTTCTTCGCCCCTTCAAACGTAATGAGGCCGAACTGCGCAGACACACAGACCACAGAGCCTGCCTGCTGCAGACCCAAGACCTCACACCTATCCCATATGACCTCCCCGACCCAACCCGGTGCATGGATGTTGGCGTATAGGTGTGCATGCACCGTTCTGTTCGTCTAATAGGGTGCAGTGCAGTGCTGCCCCCGTCATTGTGCTCACGAGTTCTGGGGTGTCTATACAGCTGAATTAAAGGCAACCGGATGCATCCTCCTCCTTACCCTCCCAGCGTCGCTGCGGCTAGAGGAATCTGTGAGATAAAACTTTCCTTGTACTTGTTCTGTAACCGCATTGGGTATATACACCTGAGCAGAGCCGCTGCCTTTCAGAAGTTCCTGAACTGCTGATGCAGGTTGTGGTGGGGTCCCGAGTTCGCGTTGCCTCGCTGATGGCACGACGACTTGCAGCAGCCCTCTCCAGCCGTCACAAACAATTAAATTAAAACTTTTGTCTTCTTTTTTAGGGGTTGACGCAAACTGCAGACCCAAAGGACGAGAACAGCGCGTCGACTCTCGGCGTTGCCGCTCAGCAGAACATGCAGTGCCATGATGAGAACCTGCACAAAAATGGCAAAAAACCAAAGCACACTAGGAAAGGAAGTGCCAGAAACACACACACAAAAGAAAGGTGAACGGGATATATATATATATATATATATATATATATA